ACGTGCTCACCCACAGACATTCACAGGTTCATTTTGAGGTATTAGAAAAACAACAAAGCTAATGCTTTTCACGGAATTACCCATTATACATTGTGATATAGCCTGCTTCGTTGGTCCATTAGATCGAATTGCTTTCTCACTACAACCGAACCGCTCCAGAGTTCGTTTTCAATCGAGCCGAGACCACCTCGTTCAGGTGGATCCGAGCGCGATTGCCGTGTTCACATATGACCAAACGAACAGAGCTAAGGGGGGGGAAACATGCCAGGTTCTGAAACAATAGGCCAGGTGTGAAAGTACCTTTAGATAATTAAGGGGAATACTTAATGACAGCCTTAAGGTTCCTCAAGTTGCCCCTTAGGTTTTTTATTGCAACCCAAGTTTTTACTAAGGGTACCCTTTAACCTTAACTAAGGGATTTCACCTCCATGCCACGCCGAATTGAGGCAGTAATTAAAGCAAAAGGAGCCCCTACCAAGTATTGAGTACATGTACAGTAAATGAACATACTTTCCAGAAGGCCAACAATTCACTAAAAATGTTTTTTTTTATTGGTCTTATGAAGTATTCTAATTTGTTGAGATAGTGAATTGGTGGGTTTTTGTTAAATGTGAGCCAAAATCATCACAATTAAAAGAACCAAAGATTTAAACTACTTCAGTCTGTGTGCATTGAATTTATTTAATACACGAGTTTTACAATTTGAGTTGAATTACTGAAATAAATGAACTTTTCCACGACATTCTAATTTATTGAGATGCACCTGTATAAATATACATACATATATATGTGTATTTATATATATACACACACACACACACATTAGGGCTGTCAGTCGATTCAAATTTTTAATCTAATTGATTACATGATGTTTCGATTTATTAATTTAATTAATCGCAAAATAAATTTGACTGTGAAAATACCCACAAAAGATTATTTGAACAGCTATTTTTGTGTTAAATGAGAAAGTATCAAGTAGACATTACAAATTGTAGCTTTAGAAATATTTTATTTGAATCAACATAAAATTTATTACACAAATATTTAGGCTACAACGGCCTAACATAAACTATGGAACATAAAAGAAGATAATTTGAGAAATATCTCCATATTTTTTGTTCATACAATGAAAGTCACTAGTGACCAAAACAGCTTTGTTACCAACTGTCTTCAAAATACCTTCTTTTATGTTCCACAAAAGAAAGTAAGTCATTCAGGTTTGAGTAAATGATGACAGAATTTAAATTTTTTGGGTGAACTATCCCTTTAATGTTTTATTATTAATATTATTATTATTTTTAAATTAAATTATACTCTAAATAAGAAACTACATCTGCCAGCAGGTGGCGGTAAATGTCTTTGAGTCATTTATTCATTTGATTCAAACGGCTGATTCATTCAGGAATTCAGTAAAAAGCTCACTTAATGAATGGGCCTTTGAATCATTGGTTTGTTCAAAACGTAGATTCATTCAGAAACTAAACACTGGGGGGGATGCAAGATGGCGCCATAGAGTGAACACGCGTTTTGTGAGCTGCGTGATTAGTCTCGGTCATTTATTTTAAAAAATCATTTAGCTAGACAGAAGAGTAGCTCAGTGACATACTTTACCTCAATAGAATGAGTCTGAACAATTATTTTAACAAATCGCCAGGTATTTCGTTGAGGAGTGCGAAAAAAGCAGCGCCGAGAAACACGCATAGATTGGCAGCCATGGCAGCGGATAATACACCAGCTACTGACCGGTTAACCCACGATGAAGAGACCGAAAAGGTGACCGCTGTCGACCCTACTAACAATCTTGTCACTGACCCTAATCTTCTACAAGCTATGAAGAGCATGACGGAGGACATAGTCTCAGTGATCGATGCTAAGATCTCAACGGTTATCGAAGCGATAGATAACCAGTTGTCCAAAATTAAAAATATTGTATAGTGAGTCCAAGAAGCAGAGGACAGAATCGATGTGACTGAAAGTACATGCACTGCCAATGAAACCAAGATTCAACACTTGGAAAAACAAATACGTGATTTGACTGAGCAAGTAGACGACTTGGAAAATCGCGGAAGGAGATGCAATGTACGCATTGTCGGCTTACCGGAGGACACGGGGGGATCAAACCCGCTCAAGTTCTTCGAAAAATGGATACCGGACTACCTTCACCTGGACACGAAGGCAGGTAAATTGAAACTGGAAAGAGCTCACTGGAAAGAAACTGGATTATGCATTGCTCTACCCTGCCACGCGCGCAAGAAGTTTGTTTCCCCGGAGGAAGTGAATGCTTTTCTTGACTCTCGACAGGTCCCGGCTTAGATACGGTGTAATTTTTCAGTGGTGATGGTTTAGACCGAGTTATATTTCTTCTGTCTTATTACTGCATCAAGAAGAGACTGACTGCGCAGTTCTGCAGATGACTTATCTATGGTGCGCTGACTTTCGGTGAAGGTGAAGATGGTGTTTTGAGAAGTTTGAATCTCTCTTCACAACAAGGTTTGGTTGGAAGCCCTTGTGAGATGGATGTAAGGGTGGTTTCCCCTGTTCATTATTTTCTTTTCTTTGTTTTTGATTTGTATTATAGTTTTGATAAATGTTTCGGTTCTTGTTCAGCTCGGCATATTTCTGTTTTAGGTCACTGTGTATATTACTTAAAGATGTTCAGGTACAGCTGTTTCTTGATTGAGGTTTATGACAATGGATAACACACTTCGTATTTGTACTTGGAATGTCAAGGGAATTCATAATCCTATAAAGAGGAAGAAGGTCCTGTCCCTATCAAATCTCAAATTTCTAAATATAATTCAGGGGTGAGACCATCTAGACCTGGCGATTTGCCCTTTTGAAGGCTTTTTAGAGAGACGGGGAGCTCCTCTAAACTTAATGGGGCCTCCAAAGATTCTTTATCCCTCTGTGAGATCCGAGGCAGTTCCAATTTATCTAAATACTGCTTACAAATTGGTTCATCAAAATCTGTTTCAGCTTTATACAGATTTGTGTAAAAACTTTTTAAAATGTCGTTAATCGCCGCAGGGTTCGTGGTGACCTGATCATCTAATGATTTTATTGCACTAATATATGCCTTAGACTCACATTCTTTCAGCCTAAGGGCCAATAGGTGACTAGGTCTTTATGATTGTAAATAATATTTTTGCCTAGTCCTATGTAAGATAAATTCCGCCTTTGAGTGTGAACAAGGACAGCTGTGTAGCCTGTTGCTTAGTAAAATGTTGTTTTTGTAGGTTTTGTAATGATTGGATTTTATTTTCTAATTGTGTAAACTGGTGAATTTTCGCTTTGGCAAGAGTAGAAGATAAAGATATACAGAAAACTCGTATAGCACACTTAGTCGTTTCCCACAGTATTTGAGGATCCACATCAGAGGGCATATGAATTTCAAGAAATTCCTTTATATATTCTTTTAGAGAAGTAATGAAAGACTGATTACTTAATAATGACATGTTAAAGTGCCATCTAGGGGATTTGGCTTTAATATCGGAAAGAGGAATATTGCATAACACAGCAGAATGATCAGATAATAAAATTGGTAATATAGAGATGGAGGAATTAGACGAAATTAAAGATGGGCTGAGAAATATGTAGTCTATCCTAGAGAAAGTCTTATGTCTTATTAGAAAAAAAGTGAAGTCCTTAGATTTAGTATTCTGAATTCTCCAAAGATCGATTAAGTTGAGCTCAGTGATAAATTTATTCAGAAATTTTGAAGATGGATTGGCTGTTGTATCAGATTGAGATTTATCCAAAGCAGGATTTACGACAGCGTTAAAATCACCACCCACCACTAGAGGGCAATCAGTCTGCTCAAGTAGAGTTTTGGAAACATTTGTAAAAAATGTACTGTCTGCCTCATTCGGACCGTAAATAGAGACCAATGCATTTATGCAATGCTATTATTATGTATTTTGCAACGGATAAAAACAAATCTACCCTCCTCATCACTTCCGGTATGTTCAATTGTTAAATGTAACTTCCTGTTAACAAGGAAAAGCACCCCCTTAGTTTTATTAAGAGCGCAGGAGAAGGCTGCCAATTTATAATATTTATTCTGGAAACGTGCCACGTCAGATTGCTTTAAATGTGTCTCTTGTATCAGGGCACAGGAAATCGATTTACGGTGCAAATATTGTAATACTCGGGTTCGTTTAACAGCAGAATTTAAATATTTTATCATTGAATGTGAATGGCCTAGAGTATGCATTGAATATTCATAATCCCAAAACTGTAATCAGTAAATGAAGAAAAGCAAAAGCACTCCCATTCTGTAAGTAACATGGAAACGCTGGTGTGCATTCCAGATACCAAATATCTAAGGTAAATAAAAGTATGAATGTCTGTTATGAAAAATAAAAGCAACACAGAAACAGGAACACATATAAACAAGAAACAACTCAGACCGCACATTACCGAGAACGTAGGTCTGGTTGAGCAACACAAAATGGTGATGATACGTGACCGGTCCACCTCAACACAAGACATGTCCCCAGAAGGCCCACATAGCCAAAATTATTGTAATTAAACCTACTCTCCATCGGACCCCTCCAAAAAAAAAAAAAAAAAGTTTGTTAGTCTTACCAGTAGACAGTTGTGCCGGATAAAGAGGAACAATATCCCAGGAGGAGCAAGAGAGAACAAATGTCCATGTCCACCTTGTTATTATACTCTCCTGGGCAGCTGGGATCGCCTCCATCCCGGTCATTGAGTTCTTTTCGCTGGCCGAAGAGATATGGAGATGGTGGCCGCTGTTTTCCCATTACCTTGTAGTGCTGCAGCATAAGTCTTCTTCTGTGACAGTGAGCTGATAAAATCCTCCGCTTTCTGAGGTGAGTCAAACATCTGTTCACTTTTGTGCCGTAGTTTAATTACCGCTGGATAGGTGAGAAAGGGCTGGAGACCAAGTGCTGTAATCTTCTTCAAGACTGGATTAAAGCTCTTTCTCTTGGTAGCTGTGGCTGGACTGAAGTCGGGAAAAAATAGTAGTGTGATATTGTCCTGCGTACACATACACCGGATATGCCTGCCGAGCACCCTTCAGGATCGCCGACCTGTCATGCCATCTTAGTACACGGAAGATGAAATACGCGGCCGATCTGAGTTTTTCCCTTCCGTCATACACGCGATGGGCCCGGTCAATCTCGATGTCACGGCCCCTCAGGGAAGGGACCCACTTGGAAAGATTAGCTCTGAGGAAGCCAGCAGCATCGGAGCCTTCCGCCCCCTCTGGCAACCCCACCAGTCGCACGTTATTTCTCCTGCTCCTATCCTCAATGTTTGTCATCTTCTCAGTGAGTTGCTCCAGCTGATTTCTTAAGTTTGTAACTGTCCTCCTGGGTTCAGTACAGAGTCTACCGCATCTCTTACTGTCGAGGCCACAACCGAATCCAAAGTGCTTTGCTGCTCTTTAAGTGCTAGCTTGATACCATTAGCGATAGCACCGTCGAGATCCTCTCTGGAGATGGTGGAATCTTTGAATTTTTTCTTCTTTGGCGATTGCTCAATCTCTGTTTTCCGATAGTCTTTGTCTGTTGAAGTATTCATGATGGGTTAAATAGAGAGTGGTTAAAAATTTACTGACAGGATTATATCATATTTGACAAAGTGAGCAGAGCAAAGGACTAGACGTGCATCGCTAGGGTCACGTGATCTCCCAACTTTGCAGATATTGTTTATGCTCAAACAGCAATATTACACACTAACTAACGTTAAAAAAGTGAAATCGCAACGAATCACCGCTTTAAATTACTTTTTTCTCTCCACATAAATCTACACTCCATACACCATAATGGCAAAGCAAAAACAGGACTGTCACAACTGTAAATTAAAAAAAAAACAAAAAAAAAACATGGAAATAAGTACATTGCATAAGTATTCTTAGTACTTAGCTGAAGCACTTTACAGCCTTACGTGTTTTTGGGTATGATGTGACAAGCTGTGCACATGAGCATTCGGCAATTATCTGCCATGCTTCACTACACCTGTTCACCTCTCAAGCTATGTCAGGTTGGATGGGGGCAGACACACATTTTCAGGTTTCTCCAGAAATATTTGATTGGGTTGAAGCTCAGGCTGGGCCACTCAAGGACATTAACAGAGTTGTCTATAAGCCACTCTTGCTGTGTGCTTAGGGTCATTGTCCTGTTGGAAGATGAACCTTCTGCCCAGTCTGAGGTTCTGAATGCTCTGGACTGGGTTTTCATTAAGGCTATCTCTTTATTTTGGTGCATTGAGCTTTCCTTTTACTCTGACGAGTCCCTCAGTCCATGCCACTGAAAAACAGCCCCACAGCATGAGGCTGCTACCAGCACACTTTACTTTTGGGATGGTACTCTGCAGGTGATGAGCAGAGCTGGTTTCCTTCAAACATGATGCTTAGAATTGAGGTTCATCAGACCAGAGAATCTTGTTTCTCACAGTCCGAGGGTCCTTTAGGTGCTTTTTTGCTAATTCCAAGTGTGTTTTCATCTGTCTTCACTGAAGAGAGGATTGAGTGTGGCCACACCGCCATAAAGCACAGATTGGTGGAGTGTTGCAATGATGTCCTTCTGTAGGTTTCTCCTATTTCCAGTGACCATCAGCTTCTTGGTCACCACTCTAACCAAAGCCCTTCTCCATCAATGAACCTTCTGCCCAGTCTGAGGTTCTGAGTGCTCTGGACTAGGTTTTCATCAAGGCTATCTCTATATTTTGGTGCATTGAGCTTTTCTACTTTTCTCCCACAGCATGAGGCTGCTACCAGCACACTTTACTTTTGGGATGGTACTCTGCAGGTGATGAGCAGAGCTGGTTTCCTTCAAACATGATGCTTAGAATTGAGGTTCATCAGACCAGAGAATCTTGTTTCTCACAGTCCGAGGGTCCTTTAGGTGCTTTTTTGCTAATTCCAAGTGTGTTTTCATGTGTCTTCACTGAAGAGAGGATTGAGTGTGGCCACACCGCCATAAAGCACAGATTGGTGGAGTGTTGCAGTGATGTCCTTCTGTAGGTTTCTCCTATTTCCACACATGATCATGGAGCTAAACTAGAGTGACCATCAGCTTCTTGGTCACCACTCTAACCAAAGCCCTTCTCCATCAATTGCTCAGTTTGGCCAGGAGGCTAGCTCTAGGAAGAGTCCTAGTTGTTCCAAACGTCTTCCATTATGGATAATGGAGGCTACATGCTTCTGTGAACCTTCAATGCAGCAGATGTTTTTTTTAACTCTTCTCCAGATGTGTAGTTTGATGCAATCCTGTCTCTGAGCTCTACAGGCAGGTTTTTTTAAAATTATCTCAGGGCTTGGTCTTCGCTCTAATATTCATTTTCAGCTGTTAGACCTTTTATTAAGACGTGTGCCTTTTTCAACTGTCCCAGATAAGGGTATGAATACTGATGGAATGGAATCATTTAAGTTTTTTATCTTTAATAAATTTGCAAATATGTTAAAACCTGTTATTTGCTTTGTCATTATGGTGTATAGAATGTAGATTGATGTGGGAAAAAAAGTAATTTAAAGCAGTTTAACTGTAGGTTTCTCCTATTTCCACACATGATCATGGAGCTAAACTAGAGTGACCATCAGCTTCTTGGTCACCACTCTAACCAAAGCCCTTCTCCATCAATTGCTCAGTTTGGCCAGGAGGCTAGCTCTAGGAAGAGTCCTAGTTGTTCCAAACGTCTTCCATTATGGATAATGGAGGCTACATGCTTCCGTGAACCTTCAATGCAGCAGATGTTTTTTTTAACTCTTCTCCAGATGTGTAGTTTGATGTGTAGTTTTTAAGTTTTTTATCTTTAATAAATTTGCAAATATGTTAAAACCTGTTATTTGCTTTGTCATTATGGTGTATAGAATGTAGATTGATGTGGGAAAAAAAGTAATTTAAAGCAGTTTAACATAAGTGTAATGGAGTGTGGCTGTAGAGAAGTGCACGACAATGGCATAAACAGAAATAGTCTTTAAATTCCAACTTAAACACAATGGATAGGAGAATCAACAGGAGCACGTACAAACACATCAACTCAAAATAATACAGGAAAAAGGAACTCAGGAGAACATGGCTTAAATGATCGGAGACCAACGAGATAATTAACCAGACACAGGTGAACAGAATGACATAATCAGGCAACACAGGAAAACTAGGCCAAGGGGGGGGAAATCACACACACAGAAAACAAGACAATGAAACTAAAACTGAATCTAAACCACACACGGAACGTGACAATAAGGCAGCAATAGAAAAAAATGAAAGGGTTTAAATACTTTCGCGAGGCTATATATATATATATGTATGTGTTTTGCTTTTCTCAGCGTTACAAATTACAGTTACATAGGTAATTAATCTATCTTGTTCCCAAACAAGCTAAAGAAAAGACAATAGAGGACATCCAGAAATACAGAGGGAGGGAATTGCCTGGTTTCCACAACTACAGAGTTTTTGAGATGGTTGTGCAGAATCAAGTGGCCACACTTAAAGAACCAACCATTGACTTACTCAACACCATCAAAGGTATCGTTACACATCTTCATGCTTAACATATTTCTGGTCACTGGGGCGAGTCTCCATTATTAAGTCAAAAGATTAGATCACATCTGGATGACACATGGAATATTTTCTAGTTTTAGCACATCTGAACTGACAAGCCTGATACAGATGGTTTTTGCCTTTTTGGTTTATTTATTTGAAGGTATCATACTCAAGCAATGCACTGATGTAGCCGATCAATGTTTCAGGAACTACCCTCTTCTTCAAAGTATCACTAAGGTAAATACTGCTCCTGACTCAACGTAAAGAAAACTAAAACTACAAAAATCACAAATTTGTTATCAATTCTCTTTCATTTGTACTTAGAACAAAATTGAAAACATTCAGTCAAGTCAGGAAGCCAAGGCGGAAGAGAGTATCTCAGAGCTGTTTGAAATGGAAAAAATGATCTTCACTCAAGATCCCATCTTCCTCAAGATCTTGAGTGTGATTAGTGGCGAGCATTATTCAGAAGATCAGTTACCTATCTTTGACAAAAAAAGCAAGTACAGTGAAATGCTGCAGGCTTATTATGCGGTAGATATTTCTAGTTTTTAATAACAAATATGATTTTTGTTCAGGAATGTATAGACTGCAGTGCTTAGTAGCTTTTCATTTTCTTTCAGGTTGTGGTGCAGCGGATGGCTGACCACCTACCCATGATGATCTCCTTTTTCATGCTAAAGCAAAGTGCTCAACTCCTGTCTGCTGACATGTTGAGTTTACTGGAAAAACCAGATGTGCATGAGCTCCTGTCTGAGGACTCTGATGTCAGCAAAAGGCGCAGAGAACTACAGTCTTGCCTGAACCGTTTGACTGCTGCACAGGAGACTATGAGCAAGTTTGAAGGATATACTGACTAGAGGATATTACCTAAAAAATTAATAATGGATTTGACATTTGACTTTATCCATTAAAATTTCTTCCACGTATGAAAAAAATTGCTACATTGCCATCATTGTAACATTATAAATTATTGATTTTGAATAATTGTATTATAAAACGCATTCAGTGGTGGGGGGGTGGTTTCCCCCTCAGGAGAAATCACGTTCCGGGGCCCCCCTCCTGCATTGGTCCCATGTCATTAGCATTAACTTGTCTCTCTTGTCAGATTAACTTCTATTACATTTTGTGAAAAGGGGCATAATAGGTGCCCTTTAAGATAATATCATTGTCAGTAGATCTCACATATAAGTTTCAGGTGTCCCCAGAACGTGACTGTGAAGTTTCAGCTAAAAATACCCCATGGATCATTTATTATATTATTTTGAAAATGCCTATTTTGAGTGGAAGCAGAAACAGGCTAGAGCCCTACACGGGCCTCAAATATAGGCCCTTGCCCGGTCCTGGCCCAAGATGCTCAGGCCCTAGCCCAGCCCTGGTCCAACAGCTTATCAGAATTCTCGGCCCGAGTCCGACTGGAGCCCGTTTCTTTTCTCTCTCTCTCTTCCCCATTACACAGCTGCTGTTGCAGCCATTAAAATAGTTCCGTTTTATTTTTAATGACAAAGTGGTTATATTTCTTTTCATTTCTTTATTAAGTTAATTTAGAAATATGTTCTGAACATTTTTTTTGTTTGTTGTTAAATTCAAGTTTTTGTTTTTCAAAGTAACAACCAAGTTGCCAGCAGCAGACAGTGAGTTGAGCATATGTTTGATCAATTTAGCCTTCTCATATCTTCACAACTTGCCTAAAATTCATTACATTTATATAGTGCTTTTCTAGACACTCAAAACATTTTACATTGTCAGGGGGTATCTCTTCATCCACCACCAGTGTGCAGCAACCACCTGGTTGATGCGACGGCAGCCATATTGCGCCAGAATGCCCACCACACACCAGCTTATTGGTGGAGAGGAGACAGGGTGATGAAGCCAATCAGCAGATATGGTGATGATTAGGAGGCCATGATGATGGACACAGGCCAATGGGCACATGTTGTTTATTACATATCAGAGCTGATGAAACTGGTGATTTGTTCTAAATAAAACCAAATATACACTCAAGATGAAATCAACAGATGCATGAAGTATTCAATGAAGCCTGTGTGCATGTTTACTCTAACTGTATAGAGATTTTAAAGCATAGCCTACTGCCAGATAAAACTCCATGCAATCGCATAAATATGAGCTGCAGTGAAAACTGCTCAAATACAACCAGGCCAGGTTCAGAATCAAATACTGAGGGTGGGTGCTTTAGAAAGTGTGCTCTAGCCACAATTCACACACATTTTCATGTATATATTTGTCCTGTCCATTGCTCTTTCAAGTGTGAATCCCGCATAAATATGCGTATGTCATTCCTGAAACTTTGCAGCGTGTATGTGGCCAGAAAAAATAACATATCTATACAAATTCTTAATGGATTATAAGATTTATAGCCTAGAAAGCACACAAAGATCACCGCCTTTATCATCACTAAACAGCTGTCCCTCATCTTAGTTCATCGCAATCTCATTAAGTTTTGTTATAATGAGAGGATTCGCAAGCTTTCACTGGACTAAGCACTGGACAAAAATAAACCCTTTGTTTCTTTGCAGAGCACAAACACAAGTGTGCAATGGATAGATTGCCAGATCAGTTTCACCAAATGATTTCCGAGCACCCACGGGATCGGTGCCTATATTCACAGCATCTAATTAGAACTGGCTGAAATGTTTTGAAATCACTTGTACCCTACCTGATCTGAAGTAATCCAGTCTTTCACTCTGCCTGTGTCAATTTGTGTCTTGTTAAAGATGCTCCTCTGTCGGTCACAGATTATGGAAAGTGAAACTTAAATCTGTCACAGGGGTGGTTGGATTTATTCACGCACGTTAAAATATTTATTAAAAGCTTTTCTTCTCAGATTCTTATTGGCAGCATTATCGTAATAGGCTGTATATTAACTTATTGGAAGAAAACCAGTAGTTCTATGTGAAATCAGACATTTGAGCACCCCCATACAGCCAAAATGCCGTGATCATAACACCTCTGCGAATATTCGACTGTGAGATTGGTAGTCGAATCAGGCTCCTCCTATCGAAGCATCGAATCTTCGACTACTTCTTGATCATAATAATCAGATATTAGAAATACAGTGGTGGAAAGAGTACTGAAAATTTTTACTTAAGTACAAGTAGGGTACAACGGGACTAAAGGCCCACCTTAAGAAAAAAATGTGCCATTCACTGTGCCTAAAATGTATAATTGCAGAAAAAATATATACGTTGTATTGAACATTAAATGGAGCAACAGACATAACTTGAATGATTTATTTTCACACAAAATCTAAGTTAATACTTGTTCAAAACTATCACTTTAGCCAAGTTTGTACTATTTTCTGCTTATTTTTAATAAGCATTAAATTAAATGTCATTAAATCACATTTTAAATCATTAAAATGTTAATATAAAAAATTATATTTTTAAATACAGAAACCAAATCGTTTTAATAAGTAAAGATTCTGAAAGTATTGAAGGAGATCCAATAATAATTTAATATAGATTTACAGTAGTAACAGCAAATTATATTTTATTATATGATATGATTAATATCATGCTTTTAAATATGATGGTTTCATTCTAATCATGATGATTATCTCTAATATGGACACCCAGGGTCAGCGCCAGAGCGCACAACGTGAGGGGGCAGGCACAATTTATTGGGGGGGGGGGGAAATTAATTTATTACTTGTCAAATAATTTTTATTTGACAAGTAAAAGTACTGTACTTTTACTTGTCAAAACAGTACTTCAGTAAAAGTACAAATTACTCTTCTCAAAAACTACTCAGAGTACTAGTTACTAGTTACTTTTTAGCTGGCGATATTTAATGAATTACCAGAAAATATTCATTCATATCAAAGATCTGTGGTTAATAGCTACTTTGAACAATATCCACTTTTATCTTATTGACAAAGTATGTGAAATTGGTGGTCATGATACAGGAATTTCTAACTTCAAAACCTTGAAAAATATCAATTAAAGTACCCATGAACCAGAAGTTGCAACTGACTTCAGTGTTCTGATGTATTTCCGAGTGAAACGGAATATTGAATAAAGGCCGGGGTTTTATTGTGGTGCACCTCCTGTCCACCTCTTGCTCAGAGCAGATTCACGATTGGATAGTGGTTAAGAATATCTGCTTGTTACGTCTGACATCATGCTTCACTGCTTCTGGGTCCTAACGCTCTGCCAGACGCCCCAAGAAAACAACAAACTGCTAATATACACCTACAATGTCATGTAATACTGAAAAAAATTATAACCCTAACCTTTATCTCCATACTGCAATCCCAGATGGCCTGACAGTGTCTCAAACACTAATATTTTAGCTGAATCACTGTGAGCTCGGAGAATGTTGTGTGCACAGCAAATTTTTAAATGCTAAGCTTAAATATGTAATATTAATTAAATAGTGCTCATAAATGGCTGTTGAGATAGTATTCTCAAGTGAAATAAGTAGAGGCTTGGACCCGGAAATAGCAGTCCTTACGTCATACTTAACAAGAGGATTCTCCCCAAGCCGTCAAACTGATGTCATCAGAGCCAGAATGCCATCCCAGAGCGGAAGACAATGTTCAGTTTTGATTAAAGATTACGATGGCAGACATTTTTTTTCAGTGTATTGACTTTCACGGTTTAATTGTTAACCACAAGACTTGTAATGTGCACTAAAAAAGTAAGTATGAATAGTATAAGTATGAATTATAATAAGTATACATTTTTGATTTCATGACGTATTTTTCAACAATCATTTTTAATACCACTGGCATCACATACTGTATACTGCCAAATCTAAAAAAAAAATTGTCCATCCATTTTTTCAAGGCAATCATTATTTCAAGCTTTGAGCGATTTAATCCAAGTCTTCTAAAAATACACATTTGCTTTATATGATGAACAATTTTATTTACATACATATAAACATTGATCAATTACCATTGCAAAAATCTCAATCTTAAACATTTGCTTATTCTGTGTATTTGTTTCTTAAAAATAGGATAACTTTGTTTCAAAAGCTTACAGCACAAAGAAGCTTGATTTCAACTTTGATTTCAAACTGAATTGAATTTATAAAAAAAGACAAGTACACAGTCAGTAATAAAATTATAAAACAAATGACCTTAATTCAGTTGAGGTATCTGAAATATGACAACACCTGAATTTTTATAAGCAGCGATTTAAGAGCCATATACACTACCGGTCAAAGGTTTGGGATCAGAATGTTTTTTAAAGGAGTTTCTTATGCTCATCAAGGCTGCATTTATTTGATCAAAAAATACAGGAAAAAAATGTAATATTGTGAAATATTATTATTTTGTAAAATAACGTTTTTCTATTTTAATGTACATTAAAATCTAATTTATTCCTGTGATGCAAAGCTGTATTTTCAGCATCATTACTCCAGTCTTCAGTGTCACATGATCCTTCAGAAATCATTCTAATATGCTGATTTATTATCAGTGCTGGAAACTGTTATGTTGCTTAATATTGTTTTGGGAACATGTGATATTTTTTTTTCAGGATTCTTTGGTGAATAAAAAGTTAAAAAGAAGAGCATTTATTTTAAATATAAATCTTTTCTAACAATATACACTACAGTTCAAAAGTTTGGGGTCAGTAAATTGCTATTCTTTCTTTTTTCGAAAGAAATTAAAACTTTTATTCAGCAAGGATGTGTTAAATTGTTTAGAAGTGATAGCAAAGATTTATATTGTTAGAAAAGATTTATATTTGGAATAAATGCTGTTCTTTTTAACATTTTATTCATCAAAGAATCCTGAAAAAGTATAGCAGTTTCCCAAAAAATATTTGGCAGCACAACTGTTGCCAACATTGATCATTCTAATAATAAATCAGCATATTAGAATGATTTCTGA